CCGAGTGAGAAGCAGCTGCGGTTGGAGGAAGAGAACCGCCGGTTCCAGCGTCGCATCGCCAACCTGGACCGCAAAAAGGTGCGCAAGATGCATACAGCATTGAAGCTTAACAAAGCGATCCGTGAGAAGTCAGGTGACAGTCAGTTGATCGTCGTGAACCTTCCGCGACCCCCAAAGATGAGGACTGGCCTTCCGAACTATTTAGAGTACCTGGATGTACTGACCGAAGGCTTGGAGCGGGTTCTGCTGGTACGCGGTAGCGGCAAAGAGGTTATCACCATTTATTCATGACGTGTTTCGGACATGTCACTCACTTCTTCAGTTTAGTTAAGTTTTCTTTCTGTTTTCGTTTCCTTCCATTTCGTTCACTTTCAAACAACGATCCTCATTTTTTTCTGTACATGCCTCGATGGTGCATATCCGAATCGATCCGTATGAATGTATATTTTGCTGGTATGAGCTTCATGATTGACTAATTCCACATGCTTTAACGACCGAAAATAAATTTGTATCGTTGTTCAGAGGCCACTGTTCGAATCAGTGCATGCTATGAAACGTAATGCTAAAACGTTCCGGCAGATTTTTCTTCGTGCATGGATAAAGTCACGCGGAAAGATCATAAAAGCTTCTATTGAACAACGTAACGACTGTCTTTATGTTTGTTTTTATTACATGATAGTAAGCCACTAATGCCGTTTCTACCCATATCTCACTTGGAACAGAGAACAGAGATCCTTGCTAACAGCAATAGGTGTGATTTTTAAGTCGCTATGCAATTGCAAGCATCAACTTGGAAAGCTTACTGAATGAGATCACCAGAATATCTAATTATCAAAAAAGGTCTAGGGAAATTAAATACCATAAACAGTACGATTAAACATAAAGTTATATATTAAAGGCAAGACTTCAAAAACGGAATTATCGTATAACGGTGATCACAATATGCAACATTTGCCTAGAATTTGCCTACTATTAAGATCTTTGCGAGTATTCCTGAGTAGCCAGCTCAAGACAGTAGAAAGGGTGCGTCCAACATTTTTCGCTCCGCGAATATTCCGGAACAGCAACAAGCGCTGCACACTTTGGGTCAAGAAACTGCTCTCTGATCAAACTTGAAACCTCTAATCAGCCAATTACTTTCGCTGATGATGCCGATAAACTTTTATCATGGGCGGAGTTGGGAGCAGGGTTTATTTCGTGTCGTGTGCCGTAGGAGTTCTTGCTCTTGTAACATTTCAGCTTCATTAAGCAGGCGTTAAAGATTCGAGAGTACTTACGACTAAAATCTCTCCCTTGAAGGTGATGTTAGCAGTCATACAGGTTCATTGGTAGATTCTGTCTCTTAAGTGATAGATTTCTTGTTGTTTCCATATAAACCTTTACACATTAATTTGTAAGCTCAAGTTAGAAATTCTCTATTCTTAGAATTAAGTA